TATATCTATATATATCTATATATTTTTTTTTTTTCACTTATATGTATATACCTATACATACACATTTCTATTCTATGATGATATATCATGATATCATGTGACAACAGAAAAGTTTCTAGTGTCATAATATGCCTTATTGCTTATTTAGCTGTGTCACAAATCCCACTCTTTATTGCTGCAGCACTACAGTACTTCTGCGATTTGGATATTGCACTTGGGCGTATTTTTTAATAACTGTGCAGCCCTAATTCAAAATGTAATTAGACATTTCCATTGGGTCATTTTATATAAACTATTTATTCTGGATTATTATTATCGGGATATAAGATTTTGATCAAATAACAAACTGCAGTACACCACACACACCCGACTGCACTGTTAGTAGTAGATGGTGTCTTTGTCCCTTTGAAAACCATTTATGTCAATTATATCTCCAAGCATTCCATCATTGGAAGAAGAGTGCTTACAGTGTGAACTCCTGCGCATGTGATAAACAACAATGTAAAGGTATGGCAGATGATCACATTTGTGTCAAGTCTTTGGTTCACACATGTGAAGTCTACTTTTAACACCCGACTCACCTCTGCTCTTGTGCAGCGATGTGTACAGAATCCATAATGCGGCGCAGGGCTTCAGAGATCTGTTTGGCCCTCACTGTGTGCTGCTCAAACTTGGTCTTCACTGCTGACTGTGAGATACACTCCTGCACAGAGCAGACGGGACAACAATCCGGACATCAACTAACATTTGGGGACAGCGAAAAGGCCCACAATGTGTTTAGCCTAGCCTAGTACAAATACTGGAAGAGGGGGAAACTGGTAGCTTCCTTTCATCTATGCTGGAGTGTTGCTGAAGTCACACTGATAAATATGGAAGTAAGCACAAATGATAAATGACTTCACTCATGAATTTAGTATTAAATAGGTACTACTCTCTCTAAACTGAATTATATGAATATACTGTGATGAAACATCAATGCTGGTGTTAAAATTGACATTACCAAATTTATTAAAAAAAGGGTTAGAAAATTAAATTTTGTGGGTTAAAAATAACTCAACATGACCTCTACGGTTTTAAATCACCCATGGCATTTTAAGACAAATGCTGAGAGTCACAAAAAACAGTGTTAATGCCCTCTAATCAGAGGAGGGCGGCCCACCTCCCCCAGCCTCTGCTTTGAGTGGGAGCCTGAAGAGTTTAGTGCTACTTTATGCTAACCCTCTACTTAACTTGGTATTTTTATATTGTGGTGCAGCGGTTCAGACTTGTGCTTTAAGATGCTGTAGAAGCACCGGACTGCAATCTTTACCTTGATCCTACACTGATAGTCCCCCCACAGACACACACACATACCGGAGAGTTAGTCTCTCTGAGCCGATAGCTCAGCTACTACACAGCTACTACACAGCTACTACACAGCTACTACACAGCTACTACACAGCTACTACACAGCTACTACACAGCCACCACACAGAAACTTCTAGAAACGACCATCCAAGTGCTACTGGTGACTGGAAAATCTTCAGGGGACTGTATGTGTTTTCAGCACAGACACGGAGGGTCTGACAGGAGGGTCTGACAGGAGGGTCAATAGCTAGCAGAATTGATGGGTGTAGTTACACTGAAGTATTCAAATCTGTGATGAAAATCTTATCCCCTGGCCACGGCAGGTATGAGGAACTTACCTCAAATCGCCTCTCAAAGTTCTGGAACTCAAACATTCTGGCTTGAAACCCCTCTGCAAGAGCGCCACCTGAAACAGGACAACAAGATGTAATACTGTAGAAAGCTGCTCTCCTCTTCTCTTCTATTTTTTGAAACTGTTCAGTAGTCGTGCAGATAAGAAACACGACTTTCAGGACTGATACTTTAATACTTCTCTACCACTCTGAGAAATAAATGTTTCTCCAAAACTATTTAGTAATTCATCTGCATTTGCATAGGGGAGGCTGTGGCTCAGAGGTAGAGCGGGTCGTCCACTAATCGGAAGGTTGGCAGAGTATCCTTGATGCAAGATACTGAACCCTCTTACTTACAGTAATATAATTGGAAACCAACTATATATTGTAGTTGTTTTTTTTGTGGCTTCAATCGTCTGTTACTCTGTTGCATTTCCTGCAGTGTGAACATAAGAATTCCTCAGTCAGGCCTCTCACAGTGCTGCCTCTCCCCTGTTCTTAATGGTGCCCATGTGTAGGATTTCATACACAGGTCAGGTTTAAAACTACATTCACTGAATTGCATTACTTTTGCAAAACATTTTTGATCCACACCTGCTTCAGGCATTCCCTGAGCCTTCTGCCCACGGGCCTGGAGTACTTCCTTGGCAGACACGAAGAAGATGCGGTCACTGGCCTGGGCTCGGTCTACAACGCCCAGCTCATCCACCAGAAAATTGGTGCATCGGTCCATATGCTGCCTCCGGACCTGACACAACAACATCACACTGTATTGAACATGAACTGCAACAAGTGATGTAGAAGGGGGAAAAAACACATGGACCCATCTTCTTTATTGACAGTGCTGTCAGTCCATTTGCCTGGATGCAATACCACAATCCGGTTTCATTTAGCAGTAGAGTACTTAAGTTGAGGACCATAATCGTTCAGCACTGAAGCTGAGAGCAGAAAGGAGGGGCTGGAGCCTATACTAACATTAGGCAAGAGGTAGGGTACACATCATGAATAGGTTGCCAGTCAAGACCAATACAGTATATGATGGCCCTGACGTGCATGTCTTTGGAGTGTGGGAGGCACAGAGAGAACATGAAACCTCCACACAAAATTAATCCAGTAGGCCATGTTGGGTTAACCAAGAACCCTGGAACACAACAATGGTAACTGTGGGAATTTCTGAAAAATGAAGGAAAAATTAAAAATGGGCAGGAAGTGTTGTAGTTTATGTGTAGCTTTCAGCCTATTCATCCAACAGCCTGTAAATTAACCTCAAACTAAATTGTACTTGCTGTGGCCTAACCTACACAAAACTACAAATACCGTATTAACAAGGCTAGATAAGACTGAGGGGAACTGAGCGGGCTTTAGTCTTAGGATATATTAGTCAGGGAGAGCAGAGGCCTCCTGCAGGATGTGATCCTCACACTCACTTCCAGCACACCAGATGGAGTCATGGTGAGGGCAATGGTTAATACCAGTTAAGCTGTCCATCTAAGGCTACCACTGAGTCAGCAGCAGGTTAATAGTGTACTACACTTCAGCTTACACACACACACACACTAATATTGTTCCAATACTTTCTTTTTTATCAAGAATTTGGACTGTACAGTCAGAGTACTTTGAATGATTACACATTTGAGTCCGTTTCACAGGCTTTGCTCAACGTGCTGCTCACAGAAGCAAGGAGACAGCTCTTAGTGTGAGGATACTCACGAATCAAGATTGCACAAAACAAATACTTGATCTCCACATCCCTCCTATTATGTGTAGCATTAAGCTGCCACACACC